GACTACTGTGGCTGTATAGTAGGTTTTGAGATCCGGCAATGTGAGACCTCCTACTTTGTTTTTCTTCTTCAGTAGTGCTTTGCTTATCCGAGGTTGTATCACATATATTTTTACAACAATTAAAAAAAAGGATCTGTTGCAGAGTGAAAATTTTTTATTTTGATGAAGTCCAATTCAAGTTTTTCCTTTCATGGATCACGCTTTTAGTGTCAAGGTTTTCTCCTATATTATTTTCTAAAAGATTTATAGTTTTATGTTTTACATTTAAGTAAGTGATCCATGTTAAGCTAATCTTTGTATAAAGTGTTAGATTTAAGTTTAGGTCCATTTTTTTCCTCCTATGTATATCCACTTACACTAGGACCACTTGTTGATGGTCTTCCCCTTTTTCACTCACCCTCCACTTTACCAAACATGATATCCTTCTCCAGGAACTGATCCTTTCTGGTAACATGACCAAAATACAAGAGACACAGTCTAGCCATTCTCGCTTCTAAGAAGCATAGTGTCTGCGCTTCTTCCAATGCACATTTGTTTGTTCTTCTGGCAGTCCATGGTATGTGCATTCAGTATCCTTCGCCAGCACCACAATTCAGATGCATCAGTTCTTCTTTGGTCTTTCTTATTCTTTGTCCAGCTTTCACATGCTGTTTAAAATACCATGGCGTGGGTCAGGTATACCTTAGTCTTCAGAGTGATATCTTTGCTCTTTAACATTTTAAAGAGGTCTTTTGGAGCAGATTTGCCAAGTGCAAAACATCTGAATTTTTGACTGCTGCTTCCATGGGCATTGATTGTGGATCTAAGAAAAATGAAATCCTTGATATTTTCAGTTTTGCTCCATTAATTGTGATGTTGCTTATTGGTTCAGTTGTGAGGATTTTCATTTTCTTTATGTTGAGGTATAATCCATACTGAAGACTGTAGTCTTTGATCTTCATCAGTAAGTGTTTCAAGTCGTCCTAACTTTCAGCAAGTAAGGTTGTGACATCTGTATATCTGATTGTTAATGAGTCTTCCTCCAATCCTGATACCACATTCTTCTTCATATAGTCCAACTTCTCAGATTATTTGCTCGGCATACAAGTTGAAAAAGTGTGGTAAAAGGATACAACCTGATGTACACTTTACCTGATTTTAAAATATGCAGAGTATCCCTTTGTTCTATTTGAATGACTGCCTCTTGGTCTATGTACAGATTCCTCATGAGCACAAGTAAATATTTTGTAATTCCCATTCTTCACAATGTTATCCATAATTTGTTATGATCCATGCGGTAGAATGTCTTTGTATGTATAGTCAATAAAATACAGGTAAACATCTTTTAGGAGCTCTGGTAGCATAGTGCCTAAGGCATTTGGCTGCTAACCAGAAGTCTGGTGGTTCAAACCCACCAGCCACTCCTCGGAAGGAAGGTTGGGCAATCTTTCTGAAGTGATACTGCCTCGGCAACCCAAGGAGGGATCACTATGAGTCAGGCCTGACTCAATGGCACATAACAACAACAAACATCTTTTGGTATTCTCTACTTTGAAGCAAGATCCATCTGACATCAGCAGTGATAGCTACTGTCCCAGTCATCTTTTGAATCCAGCTTGAATTTCTAGCAGTTCCCTCTTGATGTACTACTACAACTGTTTTTGAATTATTTTCAGCAGAATTTTACTTGCATGTGATAGTAGTGATATTGTTCTATAATTTCCACTTTCTTTTGGATTGCCTTTCTTTAGAATGGGTATAGATAAGGATCTCTTGCAGTCAGTTGGCCAGGTAGCTGTCTTCCATGTTTCTTGGCATAAACAAGTGAAGGCTTCCAGTGTTGTTGCATTTGTTTATTGAAACATCTCAATGGGTATTCCATCAATTCTTGGAGCCTTGTTTTTACCAGTTCCTTCAGTACAGGTTGGACTTCTTCCTTCAATACCATTAGTTCTTGATCATATGCTCCCTCCTGAAATTTTTGAATTTCGACCAGTTCCTTTCATGCAGTGACTCTATGTATTCCTTCCATCTTCTTTTGATGCTTCCTGCACCGTTTGATATTTTGCCCGTAGAATCCTTAATATTGCAATTTGAAGCTTGAATTTTTTCTTCTGTTCTTTCAGCTTGAAAAATAACTGAGTGTGTTCTTGCCTTTTGATTTGCTAACTCCAGGTCTTTGCATTATTTCATTATAATACTGTGTCCTCTCAAACCACCCTTTGAAGTCTTCTGTCTGGATCTATTATGTTATCATTTCTTCCATCTGCATTAGCTACACTGTTCAAGAGCAAGTTTCCTTCTCTTTTCTGACATTCATTTCATTTTGGTCTTTTCTTTCTTTCTTGTATTTTTAATGACCTTTTTGTTTTCTTCATGTATGATGTCCTTGATGTCATCCCATAACTCGTCTGGTCTTTGAGCATTAATGTTCAGTGTGTCAAATTATTCTTGAGTTGATCTGTAAATTCAGGTGGGATATATTCAAGGTCTTATGTTGGCTGTGATGAATGTGTTGCAATTTTCTTCAGCTTAACTTTTGACTTGTGTGTGAACAATTGATGTTCTGGTATGTTCTACAGTCGCCCTCTGGCTTCTGCATTGCTCTTTCCACAGATGTAGTCAATTTGATTCCTGTGCATTCCGTCTGGAAAGGTCCACGTGTATAGTCTCCATGTATGTTCTTGATAAAATGTACTTGCAATGAATAAGTCATTGGTCTTGCAAAATTATTTTATGCAAACTCTAGGTCATTTCTATTACCAAGGCCATATTTTTCAAATACTGATACTTCGTATTTGTTTCCAACTTTTGCATTCTAATCAACAGTGATAATGAATGCATCTTAAGTGAATGTTTTGTCAACATGCAGCTACTACTGTAGTTTTACACAAATAAGATGCATTTATACTTACCTTTTTTTTTGCCTATCGCCCCTCCCATTTCCCCCCAAATTATTTTTGTAAGATGCTATGCTCAATTTTTTTTTTTTTTTTTCATGTTGGTGTGAAAAAATTGGCATAGCATACTTAAAAAAAATACTTGGGAGAGGTTTGACCAAATAAGTGTAAAATGCATGCTATTTGCATAATAATATGGGTATTTCCTTTTAAGGAAGTTGAGCTTGGTGCTAACTCTGTACTTTGTCTTTGATTCATCATTCTATAATGGTAATATATAGAAAAATGACTGAGTCTCTGTGGTCTCTGAAAGGCCCTGTGAAAGATGAATCATTTATAGAACTGTACCTAAGTGAAAAGGTTTACTGTGTTGGTAAGGATTTTGGCAATGGAAGAATTAATGTATTTTTATAGAAATAATGTGCACACCATATGTTTTTTGCGAATTTCATCCTTAGGGAGAGGGCACAGTTGGCCAAAAAAAAACATATAACACTTACATTATTTGCTCTTGAGTACATTATAATTTCTGCAATGATTATATATTTTTTAGCCTGTAAATTATGTTGCATTATTCATGTCAATAATTTTTTTTTTTTAAATGAAAATTTGTAGTCTACTTATATGTACAGTGGTTCAACATTGAGCTGCTAACCAAAACTTTGGCAGCTACCTGGCCATCTGCTCCTGTAAAAATTACAGCCTGGTAAACTCGGTGGGCACTTCTACTCTGTCATATGGGGTCACTGAGTTGGAATCTACTCGACGACACAATGATAGCTGTTTTTTAGAAGGTCAGAAATATTTCCTGTAAAGGTAGTATAGGTATATTGTTGTTATGTGCCTTCAAGTCGGATCCGACTCATAGCAAACCCTCCTTGGGTTTCTGAGGCGGTATCTCTATGGAAGTAGATTGCCCAACCTTCCTTCCAAGGAGTGGCTGGTGGGTTTGAACCTCCAGCCTTCTGGCTAGCAGTCAAGTGCCTTAGGCACTATGCTACCAGAGCTCCCAGTATACGTATAGGCTGCTTATTTCGGTATACCAGCTTTACAAACAATTAGTAATTTTGGCCATAATGTTTTTAATTTCTAAATCTCTTATTTGGCATTAGGCAGGAGAGGGTTAATGGCACTTGAAAAATTCTAATAACTTTTAGTTCTCTGTGTAGAACTTGATTTAATAGATTCAATAGACTATTTTATATAGATCCTTTA